ATATTTAGTTAGGCGTAGTGCACATTGCAAGATTTTGTGACAGTATATAAGTTGAAACCGAAAGAAACGACACGGATACAATATTCACTTTATTCTCTGTAGTAGCTATGAAAGTTTGTCATAAATGCCGAATCGACGGTAAACAGTACATTTTGATTTGGCGATTTCTCCTATGCATTTAAAAGCAGTGTTACCAAAAAATTATTTCTTCTGCAAATTAAATCAGTATTTAATATAAAAGTGCTCTTTACTTCGTCTGATTTTTCGACAAAATATAACGTTTTAAGTGAGCCTCTTCATCCAGAACCGTTTGAAAATGAATTAGGCAAATGGTTGATTTTGAATAGAACTTCAGTGAGTGGATGTTAATGACTGTCACATTTATGAAATATACGTTGTTTCCCCAGAAGCAACTACCAGAGACAGCTTACCAAGGCGTAGGAAGAAAAATCAAGCTGAAATTTGTTTGCGAACGACAAATGTTCAGTTCCACTAATGATAATATAGCAGAGTAGAAAGAACAGCCGCTTTTCCTACACACCTTGCTGAAATGATTTTCAGTTTTGACTCTTCTTACTGCAAGAAAATGATTGACTTTCCTACCACCTGAATGACAAGGTTGACGGCATCGTTTGATTTGCTGCCAGTGTCTGCAATCTTGTAGCAAACACACTATACAGTATCGCTTTCTCATGCATTCCGACGTTTGGAAATATTCGCCTAAGGATGAAAGGCGACCGACCCTGGTTACGACAGATTCCATATCTTTGGATTGGAGGCTAGGGTTTTACCAGTTGAGCTTCTTGGACCATGCTGATCACACTGTCAAAGTTCAGGGGCTGGCTGAAGAGGCGCTGAATATTGTACCAACACTACAACGGATAGTAATTCCATGCAGATTGAATCTGCATCGTCGCATACGTCGTAAACAAGCTATCAGAGAAACGGCATTACTAAAGAGATCACATGGCAACCCATGTGCGAACAAAAACTCATTTAACCATTTGCACTAAACGACAAATGACAGCTGTCATAGTTGTCGAAATTGATCTCAATTCCTCTGTGTTATGATCAAAGACCATGTGACGGACAATGTATTATTGTTCCTGTCTTTGATGATGTCACTGGTTGTAAATAATAAAACGCTGCGAAAGCAGTAAAGTTTTTTATTTTGTTTTTAACCATATTGGTATTTCAAGCACAAATCCACAGGCCACCGATTTATGCATTCCTCAAAGTCCCCTGATTGTTTTTCTGGAAATAATATCAAAATTCTTCAAAGAACATCCCACCGCACATCCATTCGTCCTTGTGTCTTTTCTTGTCATTTATAACACATGTTTCCATGCTGCGTTGCGTAGGCCGCAGTTTGTGAATGACATTTAGGCTTAGGGACCACATGTCGTATCCAAAGACTAGGACAGACAGCAAACACCGATGGAAAACTTTCCGTTTCAAGCACAAGTACAGTTTCTCAGCTTGGAACATTTTTATTCTTCCTAAAATGTTCCATATCATGTTTGTTTATCTGCTTATTTCACATAGTCGATTCTGTGTTGCAAAGGTGTACTGCCCCAGATAAGCATAGCTTTGCATTTCTTTAAGAATGACCTTGCTGACTTTAGCAGGTCACGTGCTCACGTATTTGTTGCACTTGATCTGAGGTTTCTTCAGGTTCTTTTTCAGTCCCACGTTCATGCTGATGACGTTTGGCTCTTGTCTTTTTCTTCGCAGTTTTTCTGGTGTTCTTAAGATAGGATCAAAATATTATCGTGAGGTCCCAGATGACTTAATTAGTACACCTTTATATTCAACCTCTGACTTTCCGAAAAAACCTCTATTAGTGCAAATTTTGGTGATATTGAGTCTCCGTACTGGACGCTGTTTTCGGTTTTGAAATTGCTTGTGCTTCCGTGAGTCTTCAAACTTTTGTGCATTTTTGTGAATCATGGCGATGAGGTCTCGATATCTTTGCTCAGTTTCTGGCACCCAAGGAGTTCAGTGCTGAATGGATGTAGAGTTGTAAGCCTTCTTGAAATCGCCGAACCTCAGACAACGGAAGCTGATTTTCGTTGCTTATCTGAATTATTTTCCATCCCATTTGAAGATGATTCATCTTACTAAAAATCCGCTTCTGAATCCTGCTTGTTCCTTTGGCTGAGCAGTGTCAAATTTTTATTAAAGTTTATTGACATGTGCGCTTTACTGTGTTATTTATTCCATTATTTTTTGTCGTTTTTCAATATATCTGTTTTATTCTTTCCGATTGATTGAAATCATGATTATATTTGTTCCTTGTAATGTCTGGCGATGTCACATTTGGTAATGCCAAATGCTTCCATTTCCTTCTTTCTTTTGTTATATAATTCTTTTTTGTATGTTGTAAAAGAATACTTATCGATGATGCCACTCAGGCAGTAAAATCTGTTCTGTTTGTCTAAGTGCAGTAGTGAAATACATTAAAATGACAAAATGCACAATATTTCGACTATAAGTGACACATCACTATCGACTTTTCGATTCATATTTTCTGAGGCATTTTTCTGAGGAAAACTTGTTGACTCGTATAGATTGCAATATTGCAGCTGATTTTCGTCGAGTTTCAAAGAAACGATTGCCCTTTCGCAAACGCTTCACCAAATGCGAAGCTTAAGATCATGAGAAGGAGTTGTTGGCTAGTTTATTTCATTCTAATTCAACCATTCTCTGTTTTGGTGATTGCTAAAAGTATAATTCTACATTTTATAATTAAAATTTCTGTTATCTAACAGAAGAGCGAATCTAAGTAACATGGCCGTAACCTGCAGAATTTTTATTTTGGTGTTGACCTGTTTAAATGCCCCTATGGGAGGCTAGAAGCAAAGTGACGATGGATGTAAATTTAACAGGGACAAGAGATTGTGTTCAGAGTTAATATTCAATTCGGATAAATGTTCAGTTTTTTCTTTCGTATGCCATTTTCTCTGTTTCTGATGTCATTTATTTTTCAACGTAATTTTACAAATACATTTAATTGTGCATTTAGGATGAAAGATGTGAGAAATCATAGTCAAGATTTCTCTATTGCTACTCAACAAAGGGCAAGTAATTCAACGTGATAGACATTCAATGTGCTTGGGTGTTTTGTTTAAGAAGTTGAAAATTGCGAATAATGCGAATTTTTGTATCACTGTGGCGCGTGGCGGCAGTGCCACCTGTCTCTTCTAGATATTTGGCTAAGGAATTGCAGCGGCGTTGGAGAAATCAGGATCTGCAATCTCTGATTGAAGAAGATGCTCATCAAAAAGAATGCGAGGAGCAAGTAGAATCTGTGGCAGCGTCTGAATATATGAAATCGCATGGGAGAATATTCGAAAATGAATTTGCAGAAGTTTTGAATGCTCGTCAGAAAAATGAAGCTGTTCGGTTACAGAAGGACAATCACGATAGCGACTGTAGCGGAAAAGTTCCGTTTTTCCCTCATGCGAAGCTTCTTCACGTCTCCCGCTGTCCGATAACTTCAGTATCTTATGACTATCACGATCCTTCCTCTCCTCCTCTCACAGATTACACTGATCGTGGATTCCATGTGCGACAAGGGAAGTTTATGGACGAGTATACAATGGGGACACTAGAAGAAATTCCGCTAGAAGATGAAT